TAGCCTGAAGGGCTCACTGGCAGGCCAAGTACCATGACCCAAAAAGCATCCTGTAGAAGAGAGGTCGCTGCCAGGAGACCCCGAGGTGGTCCCTGCAGCAAGTGCTAGGGAACGAATGGTGAGGGCGAACCCACAGGTCAGCACCCTGAGCCAAGGGTGGGCAGAGGAGAGGCTGGGCAGATGGAAGAGCGCAAGCCCAGCATTGGTTCCCCAAATCCTCTGCCAAGGGGTCCCCCAGACTGGCTCTGGTTGACTGTCTTGTGCTAAGTTTTTAGTGAGGTGAAATTCACAGGAAGGAAGTACACCTGAGTCACTTCAATTGCACATCCCAGGGCATTTGTACCTCCCAGCCTTGTGTAACTGTCTCTGCTTTCCTGTCACAGGTGCCTCACCACCCTGGGCACAACCCACACCGTTAAACAATCACCCATTACAAACCAGGCGGAGCAGGGCATGGCTGTCAGCTCTGCTTAGCCCCCTCCATGCCGTCTCCCTCTGACGGTCCCTGAAAGTCCCAGGTGGGAACTGTGTTCGGTCTTCTATTCAGTGCAAAGTTGCTTGACTCTAAGAGGGTGTTGCTTTATGAAAGTTTTATTCTTCCAGTTCATGGAGGGACGGGGACGCACACAGCTCACTGTGCAGAGATTTCTCACTGCTGCTCTCCAGGCTCCCCATGCTCAACGCCCCGCCCTTCCACACTTCTCATGACCTCAGGACCCAGACAGCCTGACCTTGGCACAAAACACCACACGCCCCAGGGGAGCCGAGTGGGTTCAGGAATGTCAGACCGACATTAACCCTCAGGAACACATGTTCTACCTTGACCCTGAGCCATACAGATAGAAATTTCACCAAATAGTCATTCCTCCTGTGATGTCAGGGGCTCTCTTTTCAATCTATTTCATACAAACACGGGGCAAACCAACCAGGCACTGACCGCACTGATAGGCTGGACCCTTGTTGAAACAGGCGGGCCCTTCCAGAGGCTTAGGCTTTGAGCAGGTGCCCGCAGCCCAGGGGATGAGCGGCACAGCCTCCCAGGCCCCCGGTTCTGAGCAGCTGTCCAACAGGTTTGCACAACACTTTGGTCCCTGCTGTGTCATTGCTGCTTCAGAAACAGTGTGACTGAGCACACCTACAACGCATGGTCTAGAACCAGGTTTACTTGAATCCTTTTACTTACGGGGGCAACCGAGGCCTGGACAGGACGCAGAGTCCAGAGCTGTTGTTGTAGCGGCTCCTGGGGCCGCGGGTAGACCACCCACTGGCTGGGACCTGGGGCAACCCCTCTGGGCTCTCCTCCTCAGGGGCCGGGTCTCAAGCCCGGCGCGTGGCCGTGAAAGACCTTTGTAAACATGTCTATACGGTGGTTATGGTTTCAGATGAAGAAGAAAACGCACAGCAAAGTAGGAAATTTGCAAAACCTTAAAAATGTATTTATTTAGAGATCACTTCAGCCCTCTTGGAAAGCAATTTAGTTAAGATCATTGATTGGGAGGAAAATCACGCTGTTAAAGTCAGAGGCAGAGACACCAGATTGGTGCAGAGCAGCCCCTCCAGCGAAAGTGGCACAGCATAGAATTGGCGTTCATTTATGACCCTGGCGCACGAACACGTGACAGAGAACCACGTGGCGAAGGTTCAGTTCAAAATCCAGAACTAGAAATAGGCCAGCTCATCCTGCTTGGTCTTGTTGGTCTGATAATTGTGCAAGGCCAAGGCCTTGTTTTCCTGGGTGAGACCTTCAAAGACTCGAAGGTGCACGAAGTCATCATCTCCAACTTGAACCTGCAAAGAGAGAGTCGAGTGAGGGGGGCAGGTGCTGCCTCTGACCCCATGTCCCTGTGCCTGGCGGACTGTGTGAGAAAGGCCCTGAGAGCCTGGAGGCCCAGTCCCTTCAGGGCAGCGGTTCTCAACCTGTGGGTCGTGACCCCCTTGGCGCCGAACAACCCTTTAACAGGGGTCGCCTAGACCATCCTGCATATCAGATATTTACATTATGATTCATAACAGTAGCAACATTACAGTTATGAGGTAGCAACGAATATAATTTTATGGTTGGGTCACAACATGAGGAACTGTATTTAAAGGGCCAGAAGGTTGAGAACCACTGCCTCAGCACATCAGCCAATAGGGTGGTGACATTCCCATCTTCCTCTTTCGGGCGTAGCAGATGCCCATCACTCCAGCCAGCACCCCTGGCATGCTACATCTGCTCCTCAGAGCCCTTAGTTGCCCGGAAGGCTCAGTCCTCTCCTCCATGGAGGCCTGCAGGAGTGCATGCACACTCATTTTATTTTATTATTTTAAAAACATATTTATTGATTTTTTAGAGAGAAAGAGAGAGGGAGAGGTACATCGACTGATTGCCTCCTGCATGCGCCCCAACTGAGGCCAGGAATCCAACCTGCAACCCAGGTACCTGCCCTTGACCGGGAATCAAACCCGAGGCCCTTTGGTGTGCAGGCTGACGCTCTATCCGTTGAGCCACACCAGCCAGGACTACAGGAACCCCCTTAGCACCCCTGTCCTGACCCCTGTAAGTCCCCCACCACCCCACATCTGCATGTGCACCCCTGTAGCAGACACTCCACCTTGATGAAGTAGTTAGTCCCCGCGACCACCTGGCTCTTGTATTCCATGGCCTTGAAAGTGGGGTACTTCTTGTTTTCCTTCTCCTCCAGCTGGGACTTCACCTAGGGGAGAGGAGAGAGGGGAACTCAGTGTCTTCCTTCCTGCAAGAGTGACTGACACGGGAGCTGGGGCCTCATGTCAAATGTTACAAACTGACCTCTAAGGCCCACCCTTTACGGATTATTCCTCGCAATGCAGGACCAAGCATGTCAAATTCATTGTCGGCTCGAGGCATGTAGCCCACCTTTGCCTTCAGGGAGGGGCCCTAACCAGGGATAAGAATGGAGGGAGAATGGAGTCAGCAGCTAAGGACAGGAGGGAGGGTCAGGAAGGGAGAAGGCAGGCCTCTCCTGCCACTCCTGTGCCTCTGCATGCGGCCGGCAGGGTTCTCACTGCAGGCCTACCTGTGTCTCAGTGCTCACCTGTCATGCAAGGTGCCATGTTTGGTCCGCAGGGATCTGACCCTGCGGACGGTGGACAAGCCTACGGGGATGAGTGACACACACAAACGCACACGGGAGTCTGGGAAGGAATGGCCTCCCTCTTGGCCTGTTTCAGGAGTGGAGGCAGGAAAGCAGGAATGGTGAGAAGACCCAAATGCAGGCGATGGGACTGGGCATGTGGCAGCCTCCAGGCCCTGCCCGTGTGACAGTTCACTGATAGTACTGTGGACCGGGAGAAAGCTGGGCTGGACTAGAGCGAAGGGGAGCAGGAAAGGCCTGGGGATGGTGAGGAAGTTGCCAGTTACCAGCCTGAAGGGGCCAGGAGACAGCAGAGGGCCAGGGCAGGCCCAGGTCGGACTGGTGGGCACTACTTGAGGAGGCTGAGCCAGAATTGGGGACTTTGACAGCCTCTGGCCAGGGCTCCCTCTCTGGCCTGTTCTCCACACCTGCAGCCCAGAGAGCTGGGGGAGGATCAGTACCTGCGGCAGCAAGAGGTGTCCCTGCCCTGTCCTCTAGGAGCCACAGGCAAGCCCCGCCCTCAGAACTGCCTCCCAGCGGCCATGGTGACCGCCCTCTTACTTGTCACTTTCAAGTGACCAGCACCACGTCAAGGAGCCCCGAGACAGCCACTCCTCTCTGCTGAGCTGATGCGCATTCACAGTTCACACAGCAAGTGAGGAATTCCTTAGGCCTGGGATCCGGGAACCTCAGGAGAGGCTGGGCTCCGGAGCCGCGTGGGAGAGGAACCTCGCCCAACTGGCTCACCACGCAGTCCCTACAAATTCCTCATTTTCAAAGTCTCATGGGACTGAGTCACCATCCTTTACTGTGGTCAGATGGTCTAAAGTTTAGACTCTAAACCACCTGAGCACAGGGGGTGGAGTGGGGGGTGGGGTTCTATGGGGTTAGGGCAGTGGTGGGGGAACTCATTAGTCAACAGAGCCAAATATCAACAGGACAAAGATTGAAATTTCTTTTGAGAGCCAAATTTTTTAACCTTAAACTATATAGGTAGGTACATTGTTAATAACTTAATTAGGGTTCTCCTAAGGCTTAGTAAGAGCCACACTCAAGGGGCCAAAGAGCCGAATGTGGCTCACAAGCCGCAGTTTGCTGACCACGGGGTTAGGGAAGGGGCAGGTTTGTTTGACTTTGTGTCTTCTCAGAACCTGAGCCTTCCTGTGGCCCCACCCTCCCACCTTCCCCAGAACCTTCGGTGAAGGCACCCCAGTGATGCCCACTTTACAGAGGAGGAAACTGAGGCACAGAAGTCAAGCGCTGCCCAGGGTCTGAACCTTGCTCTGCCTCTGCATCCCAGCCTGGTGTCTGTTTTTGTGTTACTTGCACTAGGAGCACTGGAATAAGGCAGGGCGGAAGTTAGGACCCCTGCAGACCCTTCCCCAGCTTCACTGACCGGAACCGCCCGAGGACAAGCACACCAGGCCCTTCCCTCTAGAAGCCGAGGCCCAGGGTCCCTGTCCCAGCGTCTATACCCTCCGCGTCCCGGCGGGCGCTGCCCCTGTGCGGACAGGGCGGGACCCACCCGGGCTCGGGAGGACCGGGCCGCCTACCTTGTCGGCGATGGCCTGGATCTCGGCCGTGGCGGGCCGGGTTTCGGAGGGCCCACCAATCAGTCTAGCGCTCATGGCGGAGCAGCGGGCAGGGAGCAGCGGGCACAGAAGGGAAGAGCAGCGGGCACAGAGCAATGGCCTGCGAGTGAGATTAGCAGTGAAGGCAGAGAGAGGGGTTTTGACTGCGAGCTCAGTTCTCTGTCCTAAGTCCTCGGTCAGGTGACGCGGGGCGGGACCACGCGGGGGCGGGGAGGGCGGTCCGGCGGGAGGGGCGGGACACCAACGCCTGGTCGGGGTGGGGCGGGGTGGGGTGGGACCACAAGTGGGGTAGGGCGGGGGGATCTGGGCGGGGGACCGGCGTCTTGCACAACCTGGTCCCCCGGAGGGCGCCGCCTGGGGACCGCTGGCGTGCGCTTCAGTGCGTGTGCCCTGATTGGTGTTGGTCTTAATTGCCCCGAAGACACGCGGGGGAGGTATCCGTCTCTGCGAGCCTCCAAAAGGTGCCACTTTCGCTTGTTGATTATGTTGAGCGGAGGGCGATCAAGACCCAGCCATGGGGTGGGGAGGACTCCCACCTCTCCCTCATGGCATTCAGGGAAGGCCCTGGCCGGGGTGGTCAGTCCTTTGCAGCTTTCTCCTGTGCACCAAAGGGTGGTGGGTTCACTTCGGGTTCCATTACCCCTGGGCCCTGAACTGGAGACAACTGATCAATGTTTCTCTCTCACGTTATGTTTCTCTTTTGCTCTCCGTCTCCCCTCCTCTCTCTAAAATAAAGGGGGGAACAAAAAATCAAATGATTATATTAAAATGATGTAGGTAGGGAGCCTGGTCCAGAAAGAGAGCAAAGATCAGAGATAACTTTTTTAAATCTGAGACTCACCTGCATGACAGGGCAGACAGCTGGATACCAAACATCTGCTCTTCCCATCCTCCTGTGATTTGTCCTCCTCCCTGTGAAGCTACAAACTGACATCCCAGGCCTTAGCTCTGGAAGCTATGACCTCCGCTGCCACACCCCGTGCAGGGCAGGTTCCAGGTGGGAGAGACCCAGAGATGAGTGGGAGCTGGACCTGAGAGTCCCCAAGAGCAGGAGGGAGAGAAGTCTATGCCCATTGGGCTCCAGAAGTAGCTGGGGGACAGAGACTGCTAGGGCATCTTGGAATCCAGGACCAGGCCTGCCTGGCCTCACTCCCCAGTGCATGGGACTGCTTTGAACTTCTCATCTGCAAGACCTGGTCCTGCACCCACCTTGCACCAGCGTGTGATCCAGGGACATAGTGAAGGGCTGAGGTGTGTGAGCAGAGGAGGCACAAAGGAGTCCAGTGATGAGATGCCTCCCAGGGCCTCAGGTTGGGGTGGGAGTGGCATTCCAGCTGCACCTCTCCCCCATCCAGGGCTGCATCTCAGGGGCTGCTGGGCCTCTCCCACCACTTGGTGCTGACTGCAGGAGCAGGCCCAGCCTTGCCTTCTGTAGGGCTCCATGCAGAACCCCAATGGGAGTGGCCCATGAGCAGGTAAGTGGGAGAGGCCAGCTTTTCCTGTACCTGCCAGGGAAGAGCCTGGTTTGTAATTCAAGGAAGGGTGGGAGGCCAGGTGTGGAAGGGAAGGAGAGACCCCTACAATTCAGTCATAATTGAATGAATGAATGAATGAATGAGTGAATAAGGGGCTACATAGCAGACCTGACAAGCTCTGGGCGCTGCTTGATGAGCCTGAAAGTAACCGCAAAGGTGATTCGATCATAAATTCCTAGCTGGGCAGGTCATGCAGGTAATCACATCCTAGACCTATAGCAGGGGTGGGCAACCCCAGGCATGTGTGCCAAACATGGCACACCAGTAACTCTTGCTGGCATGCGAAACCCCCTATTATAATCTTCCACTAACAATTTTTTTCTTAATATGGACTTTTTTATTTTTCAGATAAATTCAGTGTAGGTGCATCTTAGATAAATAAATAATTTTACATAACAAGTTATCTTAAAGACCATAGACATGGATTGACGAGAGAGGGAAAGAGTAATTTCTATGCCTCTGCCTTAACTCTCCCTGCCTTCCTAGATCTGACCAGTGTTTTCGTTTCATCCAGATATGCTTGTGAATCTTTGTTCTCAGTGATGAATTTCGTTAAGTCTCGTAATAGGAGTAGCCTGACAGATGAAAGGAGTAGCTCATGCATATCTCTGAATGTCACAAAATATAAACCTGATGTAAAATCTCTGTCATCAGTGATGCAGCAGCAAAAGTCCCACTGATAATATCAAACAGAGTCATAAAGTTTTCTGTCAAACTATCAGTGTACATGTATACATTAAAAAATAAATGTATTTTTCATCATCATATATGGTGTTTTTGACTCTCGAATGAATTTTATTATTTCTTCATGGTTCTTCACATATGTACAGCTTAAGAGATATCAAGTAGGCGTAACATGTTCTTAAAAAATTAGGGTTGGCACGCAGAATAATTTTGAGTCAGAGATTTTGCCGGTTTTGGCACGCACTCACAAAAAGGTTGCCCACCCCTGTCCTAGGCCTAAAGCTTCCTTAGTGAAAGGCCAATCTTTCCCGTAAGCAGCCTTGCCCATTGTTCTTATGCATCTAGGATCAGATACCTTTGACAAGTCCGGGTGAATTTCTTTTCCAAACCCCTTGGAGGCATAACCACATTGGCACCAGTTATGCTGCTGCCCACATATCATCTCTACTTACTGCAAATGTTAACTATCCTGTACTCACTAATGTAAAGGAAGTGGGTGCTTCTCCATTGTGCTTCCTGGTAGTCGACCTCTTCCACGTTTTGTCACAGCTCCTTGCTGGGGAGGTAAGTGTGGCCTGTGTGTTTCTATCTAGAGAGGATTCTGGAAGCCTCCTCCCGGTGTCTCCTGGACTCCCTCTGTATGACCTTTTCCTGTGCTGATTTGCTTTGTGTCCCTTTGCCATAATAGATCATAGCCGTCCATCCTTGTAGCCTAGTACATCAACAGGCTTGGGGTTCCCTGACACGTGGCCCTTCACAGAAAAAATCTGTTGATTCCATTCTGCATGAACATAAGCACTACATTGTCACACCTAAGAAAATGAACAATTATTCTGCAGTATAATCAAACACCTAGTCTATATGCAAACTTTCCTAGTTGACAAATGACATAGAGCTTTTTCCTTGAACCAGTATCCTATCAAGATTTGTATATGCAAATATGTGAAGGAGTATATACCCTCCTTTATACAAGCGTTCATTCCTTCCTTCATCCATGACTTTAACTCTGTGAAGATATCAGGACGGTTGTCTTGCGAACTGTCCCAGACTAGGGTCGTGACTGTCTTCTTGTGCACCGTGCTCAGCCTTCCTGTGTCCTGACAGCTGGGGTGCAGCCCTGAAGACTGGATGAGGGTCAGGTTTGACTGCCCACAGGTGCTACTGCTGCGTGGGAGGCTCCCCCCCTTTCCCCCGCCCACAGTGGCCGGCCATTTGCCGCGGGGACTGATAGATTGGACCACCTTTCTTTAGCTTTGTGCCATTTTCTGATGACTTTCGCCCTGAATCAAAGATTCATTGGGCGCCGCACAGAGTTTTCTCCAATCCTTCCATTTCCTTCTATCTGTGCTCGCTGGCTTTCTTTGCTAAAGAACCTTCTGTCCTCAACCAGGTTAAACTACCGCCCCCCTAAAGGCGGGCACACGTTTAGTGACCTTTTAATTACAACTGTCTAGTGCTGTCATTGCGGTGTTCGGCCACTACGGGGCGATGGCGTACGGCCGGGGTGGATGCCCTCCCAGGCGCCGGTCGTCAGAGAGCGCGCCCGTACCAGGCCCGCGCGGACCTGTGACGTCACACCGCGCGACCCGGCGAAGCGCTGCGGCGCGGTTGCTGGTACCTGGGTCTCTCAGAGGCGATCGCCATGGTTTCGCGGGTGCAGCTCTCCCCTGAGATCCAGCTGGCGCAGCGCCTGGCGGGGAACGAGCAGGTGACCCGGGACCGGGCGGTGAGGAAGCTCCGGAAATACATCGTCGCCAGGACTCAGCGGGCTGCAGGTTGGCGCGTGGCCTGCGGGGCCGCCTGGGGGACTGGGCCTGCCGGGTCGGGGCGCGGCGTGGCCCGGCGAGACCAGGAGACGGGGGTTGCGGGGGGGGGGGGGTAGTGGGGCGGGGGCCATCCTGGCTGGGTGGCCTCCTAACCACGTGGTCCGGCGCGCCTACCGGGGTATTTCCACAGCCTCTCCTCGCGGCATCGGTCACTTGTCAGTAATGGTCCTTGTGTAATTGTTGGGTTGTCGTTTGAGTTTCACTGTAGCGTACGCTCCGCGAGAGCAGAGAACATGCTTGTTAACTGGTCTGTGTAACCGTGGTTCTCAAAGTGTGGCACCCCATCGGCAACTGCACCATCACGGGGACTTTTGTTGGAAAGGCAGTTTCTTGGTCTCATCGCAGCCTTGATGGATCAGAAACTGGCCGTAGGGTCCGCGATCCGTGTTACAAGCCCCCAAGTGATTCTAACAGGTGCTCAGGTCTGAGAACCACTGCTCACTGAACACAGTGCCAGACACAGGAACTCAGTCAATATTTTGAGTGATTTTATGTGTCTTCGTCGTGTACTGGCCCGATGACTTAACCTTTTCTTTTGAAATTTGAAGTTTAATGCAGAAAAGTGCACAAACCCCAGATGTGACGCTGGGTTAATTATCCCCCTAAGATAGCCAGCCACCATCCAACTCAGGACATAGTGACTCACTCAGTTTTGAATCTCCAAAAAACATACAGTGCCTGATTCTTGGAGATTCTCAGTTTTTATTGAAAGGATGAAATGGCAGTTGTGTGGGGGAGTCCCTGCGGGCCCAGGCCCAGTGTGTTCCGAGTTAGAAGGATGTCTTGAGAGGAGAGGTAAGGACCGTTAATCCCTGGTACTAACAGGCTGGGGCCCACTTAGTCTGAGTGTTGCCGTTTTGATGCAGGTGGTTTCACTCATGACGAGCTGCTGAAGGTGTGGAAAGGACTGTTTTATTGCATGTGGATGCAGGACAAGCCGCTCCTCCAGGTGAGCTTATGGGACGCTAGAAGGAGCTGGATCAGCAGTGTGTCAGTAGGAGGCCAGATGGGCGTGTGGTTGACTTTGGGCTTTATTTATTTATTTATTTATTTATTTATTTATTTACTAGAGGCCCAGTGCAGGAATTTGTGCACAAGTGGGGTCCCTCAGCCTGGCTGGTGATCAGGGCCTTCTCTCCCAGTCCAGATCAGGCCAGTGAGGGGCGGGGGGGGGGGGGGGGGGGGTGGTTGGCCAGCCCAGGGAAGTTGGCTTTGGGAGTGCACTGACCACCCCCCCTGGTGGTTAGTGCCCATCATAGCTACCGGCCAGTCCTCCACTCATAACAGTCACTTAGGCTTTCATATATATAGATTTATTAATAGCAGGAAGGTGAGGGCCTTTGTTCAGGGAGGGTCTTATATTTGTTGAGTTGAGCACCATAGCCACACAGGTGCTCATCAGTGCAGGTCAGCGCCCGGGTGAAGCCTGGGTTATCTGTCTGGTGTTTGTGAGAGATCACAAACAGCCCTAAATGATGGAAATCAAGGGAGAGGGTCTAAGTTCTCTGAGACACTGATTTCTCCTGCAGCCTTTTTAACTTGTCTTTCCTTAAAATGAAAACTATTTTTAGAGCAGTTTTAATTTACAGAAAACCTGAGAGGAAGGTACAGGAGTTTCCCATTATCTCCTGCCCCTCCTCACATGCACAGCTGCCTTTGTTATCAGCATCGCCCACCAGATGGTACATTTGTTATAATCGATGAACTAACACTTGACACATCATCGTTATCCTCAGTCCATAATTCACCTGAGGGCTCACCCCTGGTGTATGGTCTGTGGTTTGGACAAATGTATAATGACATGTATTCATCACGATGGTGTCTTACAGAGTAGTTTCATTGCCCTAAAATGCTAGCCTTTGTAAAACAGTGTTTATTAGAATACGAACTGCTTACTCTTCTTCAAGATTCCCTGCATGGGGTGGCAGTATTGAAAGTGCAGAATCCTGCACTGTATTCCATGCGTATAAACTAGAGTCTCAGGGAAGGCTCTGGAAGTACCCATTTAGCAAGTGCACGGAGTGCTTCTTGGCCAGTGACACAGGCAGGCAGTGAGTAAGTTACAGGGGTCTGGTTGGCTCCCTCTTTGTGCTGGTCAGGTGGATGCATGTCCTGCGGCTCTCTGCTCTGGCCGGCCTTCTCTTATTCTCTCCTTGGATGGCCAACCTCTGTGCTCAGGGCTCAGCCGGATCATGAGGGCAGTGACTCCCTGTTGCAAGGTTCTGCGGGCCCCAGCTGTAGAGGGAAGCCCTTCGCAGCAGGGATGCAGCTTGCAGGCCTCACGCACACGGGGCTGCAGCAGCCAGTGAAGCCTGTCTCATGCCGGGTGGACCGCTGAGTGTGTTGCTTGTTGTTGTGAGGCCGCCTTTCTTCAGGGGCTGAAGGAGATTTTTTACTGTTTCCTGCACAGGAGGAACTAGGAAAGACCATCTCCCAGCTTATCCATGCTTTTCAAACCACAGAGGCACGTGAGTATCCTTACCCCTTGGGAAGGCCAGAAGCACCGAGTCAGTAGCTTCCACACACAGAAGCCTGGGTTCTAAGATCTAGAGCAAGAGAGAAGTCCCCATGGTAGCTGGTGTCTGCTCGTGCTTATTTGTGAAATGCTTCAACACGTATTAAGTCTTTTACCTAAAATACACTCAGCTCAAAAGTCTAAAGGGCTAATACCCTACATTTTAAAATTAAAGTTGCAAGCTGGTGTGATGCTACCATGCTGCTGGACTGACTCAGGTCTGATGGTTGTGAAGTTTGTCAGTGAGCTTTTTCTCTTCTGACCACGATCAGCAGTTCTCAACACTGCCGCTAGCCCAT